CAATAGTCATTTACTAAATGGGAATTAGCCATTTATTTCTAAGTTGGATTGTTTTTATTATTATTTTCATTTTAGCTGACAAATTGTGATTATATATTGTTATGACATGAAGAATGATATGGACAACGTAGAATGGTGCAATTGATTTAATGGATTGTGCATTGCCTCACATCCTTAATTTTATTGTGAAAGCACCTAAAATCTATACTCAATTTTCAGGAAGTAAATATATTTTTTATATACAGTGTATCATGAATTTGGTTCTGTATATCTGAGCCAGTGTTTCTATTGGCCATCCACTTCCAATTTCTTCTACTGTCCTTCCTAATTACCAGTATCTATTCTGCTTTTATGGTATAAACAGTTTTAGATACCAAATGTAAATGAGATTGTGTAATATTTGTTTTTCTGCATGTGGCATATTGTTCTTGGCAAAATTTCTTACATGTATCCAGTTTATGGAAATAGTGTAATGCTAGTGTTTTTTTGGTTGAACATTATATATTTTGCACCTATAAAGCATTTGTTTATTTATCTATTACTACCAAATATTTTTTCATACCCTGCCTATTATAGATATTGCTGTAATAAATATTGAAATAGATTTATCTCTTTAATATACTGATATAATTGTACCCGGATGTATTCACAGTTGTAATACAAATGTTAAAAATGCAGAGACACATAATGGGGTTAAAGCTGAAGACAAGAGAAACACAGCAGCCAGCCACCAGAGAATTCTTACCTCTACCCTTGCTCAGACCAAAGGGGCAATCGTGTCCTCTGATTGTGTCTCCAAATCACACTTCTCTCCAGAGTGCCTCAAATTGCAATGCTCTCCACCAAAAATCAGACTGCCCTTTAAGGCTACGCTGAGCTGCTTATATTCTCTCTAGTTCTGGGATTAAAGGCGTGACCTCTGCTTCTTTTTCAGACTGATTCATAATCATGTACTCCAGGGTGGACTTAAGGTCACAAAGTACCTCTGTCTCCTGAATCCTGTGATTAAAAGTGTGTACAACCACTGCCTGCCTTTCAGAACTAACTAGTGTCTTTCATTTTGCATTCTGTTCTTCAGGACAGGTTTATAAGATCATAAACATTGTATCACCACATGCAGCAGGATCTTACTACAGGTCCTTTTTAATGTTTTATTTTCTTGTAAAATCCTCACATTTTTTTTCTTTATTGAAGTATTAGTTTGCATTCCCAGCAAGGGTTTAATTTCTCTGTATCTTTACTAACAACATCATCTTTTGACTATACCCAATAGATTTGAAGTAATTTATCTTATTATTTGGAAATTTATTTTATTGAAGCAAGTTCTACTACTATTTTTCCATGACTGCTCCTCAATGCTCTGTTCTCTGGATAGATATTAATGAAGTAATTGTAATGGTTTTTCATAAATACACTAGTATTGAAAAATATCCTTTATTACATCATAAAGAAAGGTTAATTACTATCTCTTTAGCCAAAACAAGTTCTCAGATGTGACATAAATATTCTTTACATCAATGAGGCACAGTGCTTTTATGATGATTGAGTATTTACTATGAAACCACTAGCAAACATATAGTTATTAAGAGAATCATTATCTTTAGTACCTTGAGAAGAAAAGAAGTATGTACTGAGCACTCACATAATATTTCAAGGCTATATTCTGTATAAACTTCAATGAAAAGGTAATTAAGTCAAGAGTGATAAAAGAGATAGAAGATCCATGAGTGTGTATCTTGCAAACATGTTATAATAAAATTTCTTTATTATCTAAAAACTTAATTTTATGTTCATTAAATTTATTTTCATGTATTTTGTAATATCAGTTTTCATGGACACTTTATATTGTAAGTATACCTTTTTTAGCAACTATGTATAATATTATAGTAATATAATGACTAAAATTATAATCCATTTCCTACCAGTAAACTAGCTAGAACACTGAGATAAAAATTAAAAGTTTGATACTATCTCAGAAGATACAGGAGTTTAATTCCAGGATTAGTTGTGTAAATAAGGTACTCTATTTAAGTAATCCAACGATGAACATAAACTCTGTGGCAGGGTACTTTCCCACCATGAGTAACCTCAGTGTCAGGGTGACTTACTACCATAACAATGTCCCAAATTTAATTGCCAAGCTTACAAACAATTGAAATTTTAGAGTTTTCAAAATAACTTCATACTATGAAAAACTAGACTTTACACACATATCTTTTGGTCTTATATCTGATTTATTCTGTAGAAAAGGCAAAATGGAATTGTCATGGATAGAGGGCAAAAATGGGATAAAAGGGTTTAACATGGTGGAGGATGTGATGGCAGGGTGGGAGATGTAATATGTGGTCAGATAAGTAACACAAAAGGCCTTTGGAAATGCCATATGGAAACCCAATATTGTAGAAGCTTCCTAAAAGTATATACAAATAAAGGAATATCAACTGGTTTACCCTAAAATTGGGTTGGGCATATACTCCAAATAGACATCATGTTATCAAATAAAAATTGTAGTACCAGGAATAGATTACCTCTATTTGAGTTTTTGATTACTGGCGCCTCAAATGCCTGGATAAATATTACAGGATATTAACAATGTTGTTAGTTACACACTAAAACTTCATTGCAAGACCTGTCTGTGGAAGATAGTACACTTGGGTACCATATCATGGAGAAATTCACTGGGAAGCTTCATCCTGACTGGTTATCATTCACAATATTTGAATGTAACATACATCCTACTAGAGAACAGTCATGATCAATATCACCCATTTATGAACCCATGAGACATAATAATGACTTAAATGGCAAGTTATGGACATTGGTGCAATATTGGCACAATTATGAGAGCAACCAGTCATTTTTTATTTGGTTTAAGAATTAGCCCATAATATATAAGCCAGACCTAAAAACGTCAATGATACTGTATAAATTATAGGCCTTAGTAAGAAATCTACAATTATTTTGCTAGATGAAATTAGCAATAAATCAACTCTCTTGACATATTGTCATATTCATCAATCAGTGCCCCAGTAAACCCACATCAGAGAAACTTCTGATGGAGATTAACACAGAGACCCACAATTAGTCAATATTCAGAGAACAGGGAGCTTTGTAGTATTCAGTCATACATGGGATACACATATCACACCCCTCATCTCAAGACTCAGTAATATATTTAGAAGAGGTTGGAGAATGATTGTAAGAGCTGGAAGTAATGAAAATCTCTGAGGAAGCAATGTTTTCCAGATACAACAAAGCAATTACATGTATGGACTCATAGAAACTGGGACAACAATACATAACACATACACAAGCTCAAGTGAGTCAAAATTCCAGTATAGAGGAGGGTCAGTAAACACAAAGTCCCATCCCTACTTGAGGACTTAGTGGCATTTGATGGATGCTAGAAGGCGGAATGTAAATTTTCCTCAATGGAGTGATACCTGATGTATATGAACATACACCATGGCAGGCCCATACATAGGAGTACTATGAGCCAACACAAACTGGGCTCCATGGATTTGTTTTGCTGCTTGTGATTTGTTTTAAAGAAATAGAGAGAGAAAACACAAAATTGGGTGGGAATGAGGTGGGAGAGATGAAGGAAGGGAAAAATATAATCAAAATAAATGTATGAAATTTTTGGAGTATAAATAAAAACACTATTTCAAAATACATCATGAAAAATATGTATATTCTCTTTGGGGAATATATGTATATTTTCTATGTAAAATTATTCCCCAAATTTCTGAAATTTTACAAATATTAATTTTGTGTGTCTCATAAAACATTTGTATGCCCCTATAAAAAGACATACTCTAAAATTGACATTGGATATTACTTTGAGTTTATTGCAATTTTAGCTTGACTACAAAATTTATCACTGCATGAAAACTTGTTGTTTGTTAGTATTAACTACAGTTTTAGAAGACTAAAATGATGCATTTCAATAAATGATACCAGAATAATTAGATATAATTTGAACTTCGAGAAGTAATCTATTCTATTTTTTAAATCATTTTTTATTTTAATTTTAAATAGCTTGTTTTACATGTCAATACCAGTTCCCTCTCCCTCCCCTCCTCCCGCACTCCCCTTCCCCCCCAGACTCCCACCCTATTGCCAATTCCTTCCACATAGGGGATATCTAGAGTCTGTCATTTCACTTTTTATTCTGAGTCCCTGGCTTCTTCTGATACAAATAAAGGATATGTAATACATGTACGAATACTTTGAATGAAATGAAAATACCCCTCATAGGAGTTTCACTAGAATCAATTTCATCCCTCAAAGCAACTGTCTCATATAGCTTCATCATGGTTTTAAAACTGAGGTGAAGTGAATGTCATTGGACTTGGAAACAGGGATTCATGTTGAGTTGGAGGCCTACTACAACCTCAGATTTATTTTGTCTGATTGTTTTAAAACACCATCATTTATCTAGGATTCCCTATGTATTTATATATGCTATTGATATATTTTTAGCCAAAATGAATATATTGTTCATTTTAAGTCTCTCTAAAAATTTCCATCACAGGGAGGATTAAACAACAGAAATTTATCTTACAGTTCTATAGACTGGAATTCTGGGAACAGCTGTTAACATGGTATAGTTATGGAAAGTTGTCTCTGGTTAGCTATTGTTGGGCCATAAGAGGTTCGAATTTGAGGCCCAGTGTAACCTCCTGATCCTGGCTAGAGATTTGGTGATCTGTCTCTGGCCTGTAACCTCCACCTGGGGGTGACTCAGCAAGGCCCAATGTAAAACTTCCTCCTGCCTGTCTACCTGCCAGCTTGGTGGAATATTATTGGCCCTTACTCCTGCTCATGTCACCTTACCCCGTTCTAAGATTCCCATTCCCTACCTCAGCCCTATATAAGTTCCAGCCTGTTGGAATAAATGGAGATCCTGCTTTGACAAGTTTCCTGACTCATCTTGTATTTTCTCCCAAGTAACCAGTAAGGTGGAGGGTCTGAGTCATCTGCATTCAACATCCTGGTCAGTCCTGGGAAGAGACTGGCTAGACTGGCCCTTCCCTCACTCTACCTGCCACAGAATCCAGCAGACTGGTGTCCTGTGTAAAGAACATCATTTCAACAGAACACTGATGGACCAATCTGTCTATAAGTGAGTGTCTTCATCCAAATCAAACCATATCCTCTAATTGTTATGAGTCCTACTTAAAAGTACAGGCCTTAATCTTTCTGTAATCAGGCTCTCCAGGCCTGGGGCTGTTTGCTCAAGATTGTTCCCTGGCTGCTGGAGAGTAATTTTTTGATTGGGATACTTGGGACAGGATTGAAACCCTAATAAGGAGAGCTCAGGTGGAAAAGGGGGAGATTCTCCTCTGGGGACCCTCCCTATGGTGTCTGCCTTAAAGGGTTGCTTCGCCCATCATCCCCCTTAGGGAGAAGAGTAGGACAACAATCCAGGAAGGGACAAAGTCAAATCCTAGTGCCTCATACCATCCCATGCCACTATATCTGTCCCTAGACCCTTTTGAAAGCATTCCTTGGCCCTCTAAGGATAGGACACTTCTAAATCCCCCTACTAATCTTTTCTGGAACCCCTCTGCACCTCTTCCTTGCTGGAGGGAGGATGCTTCTAGAGGAAAAATGATGAATCTCTTCCCTGTAGATGTTAACCCTGGCAGCAGCTGCTTGACTGCCTCTTACATCTGGGAAGCAAATGATTTAAAGGAACTTAAGGCTGTTGCAGAGAATGGAGACCATCCTACAGAGCTTAGCCCATTCTCAATGTAGTGCTCAGGATTGGAAGGACCTTGCTAAGGCAGTGGTTCCTGGATCCACGTTTCTGAAGTGGAGTGTGTTTTTTCTGAAGGAATTAATTTGGCTTCTATGCTTCATTGTAATAATGTTCCAGAATCTACACACTTCCACCAACTAAACCATGTTAGGTGGAGGGGTCTTAACCACAAGTAGCCACATGTGCCAGTCAAGGACGTTAAAAACTTTGTCCAAATTTATAGGACCTGCCAGACTTTCTTTCCGATAACTCCCTTCCAAACTACTGGAAACAACCCTCGAGGGCTTCATCCTAATAACCTTTGGCAAATTCATGGTGCTCATTATTCTCCATTTGGAAAAGCAAAGTATATTTTTCTCTCAGTTGATACCTTTTTCCATGCCTGCTGGGCATCAGCACTTGCTGGGGAAAAAGCTAAACATGCTATTAGTTATATGCTTCAAAGTTTTGCCACCCTTGGATTGCCTGATCATATTAAGACAGATAATGGCCCATGCTTTGTAAGCATGGCCTTTGTGGACTTTCTTAAGACCTGGAGCATCCCACACTCCACAGGCATCCCATGTTATCCTCGAAGCCAAGCAGTTGTGGAAAGATATAATCCAGTTCTTAAGTTTCAAGAACAAAAAAGGGGGAATCCTTACCATACATGATCAATTAAAAAGGGTGTTATTCACCCTAAAAATTTTAAATCTTTCTAAAGAAGATAAATACCTGTCTCCTTTTCAAAAGCATTGGTCCTCATTAGTTACCTACAGTTCTATTTGGGTCAGATGGAGGGACCCATTGACATGAGTCTGAAGAAGACCAGACACCCTCCTCTCAACAGGGAGAGGATTTTTATATGTCTTCCCTCAAGATGAAAAAAGATCCATTTGGGTACTAGTGATAGACCTAAAATATTTGCCCCAACAAGTGGACAATGACCACCACTTCTCCAGGGAGTGCTCCACTCCTGAGAACTGTGTCTCTGTTTCCCCTCCCCCAGGAAAAAATGAAGAAGTAGGTGATACTGCTCTTCCCAGTATCAATGATGCTCATCCCACCCAGTGATGGAGGAGTTGAAAACCCACAGGATGCTAGAGATATCTTGACTGGCCTTGTGGGGAAACCTCGTTACTGCAAGTGTGGAACATACTCTGTATCTTCCTTTAGTGGATGGGTAATACTTCAGGTAGATTGTGGTACCAAGGCAACAGTCAATCTGATTGACACATCAGGATCCCATTTTTCAAATTCCAATAAGTGGATATGCATAAAGAAAAACAAGATTATCCCCAAGCTTGATGGGAAGCCAGGGTCCTTCCCTTGTACTGCTTTCTATCAAACTATGCATTTACACTGCTATGGCACTGCCCAAATGTGCACCCATAATTCCACTCAAAAGACTTACTGAATTGGCATCTGAATTAGATTAATCTCTGGAGGTGAGAATAATTGGATTGTAAGAGATGGAGGGCATACCACCTTGCTTTGCAGCAGTGGGTGAAACTGTCTTCTGGAAACTTGATCCCCCTATCATTTATTCAGATGTTGGGGGAGTCCAAGATAAGTTTAGAGAAGAAGTTCATAAAAGGATAGAACAACTTGTTTTGGCCCAGTATCCAGAACTCAACTATCACCCTGTTGCTCTCCCTGAAAATCAGGGAGAGCTAGCCCTCAACCCCCATACTAAGTCCCTTCTACAAATGGTCTTTGCCTTAAAGAATCATATGACTCCCTACCTTGTGGAGGATTGCTGGATTTGCCTACAATCTTGAACTCCTCAGCTGTTTGCATTGCTCTCTAATGATACAATCACAGATGCCCCTGCTGCAATAAAAGATTGCTTAGTCACATTTCCCATTCATGTCCAGCTCCTCCCAATGTCTCTTTCTGGGTCTTGCATTAGGTGCCCTCTTGCTCCTGCTAAATCCAGTATAGATGTACGCCACATTGATCCTTCTTTCTGTAATTCAAATACGACCAAACCTAATGCGTAATTTTGCCCACCTTCTGGAATGGTCTTTGTCTGTGGAGGTGGGATGGCATATGACTTCCTGCCCACCAAGTAGACAGGTCTTTGTGCCCCATCAACCTTGATTTCCAATGTGGATATTATTCCTGGGGATTGGGCTCTTCCTGTGACCTCTTTTGATTATATTGGAGGTAGACCAAAGAGAGTCATACAGATGATTCCTTTACTTGCTGGGTTGGGAATATCTGCAGGTATGGCCATTGGGACTGCAGGGCTGAGCACAGCATTTGAACTCCACAGACAGCTCCCTGCCCAATTGGTTGATGATATAAAGGCAGTGTCTACTACTATCCTTGATCTCCAAAAGCTGCTTGATTCCCTGGCTAACATAGTCCTACAGAACTGAAGGGGATTAGACTTACTAATAGCCAAAAAAGGAGGATATGCTTGTTTTTACAGGAAAAATGCTGTTTGTATTCCAATATATCAGAAATTGTTCAGGAAAAGATCAAGAGGCTTTAGAGGGACTTGGAGAGGAGAAAGCAGGACCTCCAAGACAACCCTCTGTGGACTGGCTTAAACGGCTTCCTACCCTACTTTCTCCCCCTAATTGTGCTGGCCCTCTGAACCCTGCATGATTCATAAAGTCATGCATTTTTTTCACCAACAGCTAGAGGCAGTAAAGCTTCAGCAGATCATGGAGTGTTCTTTCAACAATCTGGATGCATGATGTTCAGTGACAGGTAAAGTCCCCAATGGGGGACCACCTAAGACAGAGGCCATGATTTCCACCATTCTTACAAAAACAAAAGGTGGAGATGTTGGGCCTAAAAAGTCTCAGATGTGAGGCCCAGTGTAACCTCCTGAGCCTGGCTACAGATGGCAACTTGTCTCTGGCTGGTAACCTCCACCTGAGGGTGACTCAGCAAGGCCCAATGTAAGACTGCCCCCTGCTTAGCTACCTGCCAGCTTGGGGGAATTTTATTGGCCCTTACTCCTCCTCAGGTCACCTTACCCCATCCTAAGATTCCCATTCCCTACCTCAGCCCTGTAAAAGTTCCTGCCTTTTGGAATAAATAGAGATCTTGCTTTGACAAGTCTCACAACTCAGTATGTATTTTCTCCTTGGTAACCAGTATGAGGGAGGGTCTAAGTCATCTGCATTCACCATCCTGCTCAGCCCTGGGAAGAGACCAGGAGCTGGACTGGCCCTCCCCCCACCCCACCTACCAGAGGATTTGGCAGGCTATAGTAATCTACCTTTTATTATCATTTACAGATAAAAGGGAAAATTTTTCTATGGTGCTTTTTACAGTCATATGAATTATTATCACTGAGGCTAAACTTTCATAGTTTAGGTACCCCCCTGAAGCCCTAAGTCAAGATGGTCTTATTACGATGGTCAATTAAGATTTTAATTGACAAATTTTGGAGAAATTAAATGAAACCATTTCTGAGTCATTCATGCATTTTACAAATCTTCTTTATGAATTAATTTGAATCAGTTGGTAAAACTAGGATCAGAACACACAGAAACTTAAGCACATATCTTTGCCACCAGCATCTTTTCCAAGGTTAGATATCAATCTGTTTATAAGCCTATATTGTTGTGGGAAGGCCCTGAATTGAGTGACTCTAATGTCAACAAGCTCTGCATGAGCAGGTAATGGTATGGGCAAACAATAGTGGAAGGGGGAGAGCATCTATTTCTCACATGATCAATAGTTAAACAGACTTGATAGAGGAATATAAAAAAGATATTGCACATGTTGAATTCAATTCGCATAAAACAAGATAGCCTGAATTTAATTTTTCTGTGTTACAGTGAAATAAATAATTAAAGATACCCATTATCTTTTTAGAATTGCAGAAAACAATAAATTTTCCATATCTGCTTGGCAAGCTTATTAACTACAATTCTTTCATTTTTAAAAAGAGTTCATCCTCTTACTAAATTGAACTTTTTCAGTCATTGTGGTAATAATGTTTTCATGTTCATATTTGCATATTTCTATTCAGAGCTCTCATTTCTAAGCAAATATTGAATGGAAAAAACTAAAATGTTAATATTGGAAATTAAGGAAATGTGTAGTTTAGATGCCAACCTAAAATTTTGGCTTTAAATAAGAATATGGTCTATGGAAGGCCTCACCCTCCCAGGAGAATGGATGGGAGATGGGATGGGGGATCAGTGGGGGCATGGGAGGATGGGAGAGAGAAGGAACTGGGATTGATATGTAAAATAAGATTTCTTCTAATTTAAATAAAACTTATGTAAAAACAATCTGGTCTCAATTCAAACTTTAGTTATAAATCCATTTTCTTCCATTTTTAGCAAGATGTATCCTATTTTCATTTACTTATATTGAGCCACCATTGGAGAAATAGCTGGTTCTTAAATTTGCTCTTCTAAAACTGTAGAACTGAACTATGTTCTCAAACACTACAATTAGGTTAAACCTAGAGTAGTCATGGCAAAACAGTAAGAAAATCTGAAACATACTCAAGCTTCCATGAGTATATCATTAAGTCACTGAGGACCTATCTTTGCAGACATTATTAGAAGAACTGGACATCTTCAACTTTGCTAAAGGAGGAAGCACAGCTGCAAGAAACCATTGCAAGGTCTACAGATATTGCTTTCTCCTGATATCCAACAACAGGACCTGTTCAATAATTCAGTTCTTTTTTGGTGAGCTTCTGATATTTTTAGAGATTTATATTTATTTATATTATGTGTGTGAATGTTTTTGTTTGCACATGTTCTCCTGGAACTGGAGTTACAGGTGGTTGTGAGTCATGTTGTCAGGGCTGAAAATACAAGCAGAGTCTTGCCTGATAGTAGCCAGTGCACTTAACAGCTGAGCAGTCTCTCCATCCTCAAGATGGTCCTCCTATACCAACTTCCTACAGATATGTTTATGCTTCAAGCTCTGGAGAGAGGGTCATATAACTATCCTCATAGTCTCCCCTACAGTCTACCCTAATACAAACTTCTGTTCCCTCAGAACTCACCTCACAGCTTGGGATGGGCATCATTTTCAAACCTTCCCAGGAGTCATGGAGTGACCAGCAAGACAAAAACGCAGCCGAAAAAAATGGGAAAAGATATTCACCAGCCCTTCATCTGACAGAGGGCTGATTTCCAAAATATACAAAGATCTCAAGAAGCTAGTAATGAAAAAAAATAATTCAATAAAAAAGTGGGGTACAGAATTATGTAGGTAAATCTCAATAGAGGAATCGTCTCTCTTTCCAATGGACTCCTTTTGCTTGTCCTTGTGCTTGGGCGTGGTATGCTGTTCTTTATTTAATTCTATAGCCAGGAACCATTCCGAACTCCTTATTTTTGTTCCTCATACTCTAAACTGTATGGTTTGTGTGTACCCCTATGCCTGCTTTGTGGATTTTTTCATTTTAAATCCTATTGTTAAATAGCAATATTGATGGAGGGAGAAATAGTTATCTCCAGGGAAGACCACACCAAATTGGCTGTCCAATAACTAATGGTAAGCAAGAAAAAGCATACATATCAATAACATTATATAGACTTAGCCAATTATATCTATGCATGCATATGCACATAAATATATGGATGGAATAACAATGAATATGAGGTAATGAGTCTGAAAGAGATCAAAAATGGGTATTTAGGAGGGTTGGTTTGGAGGGAATAAAGGGAAGGTAGAAATAATGCAATAATATAATCTCAAAACTAAAAGAAAAAATACAAATTTATTAATAATGTGCATTGTAACTGATCTCAAGTGCTATATAGTAAAGTAGCTTCACAACAGTTTTTTCTTGCCCCAATATCTTAGAGTATTATAAACCTCAGGACAATGTGGATAGTGAACTCTAAAAATGTCTGTGTGTCAATTGGTAGTTATGGCAGTTAGTGCGTGTGTGTGTGTGTGTGTGTGTGTGTGTGTGTGTGTGTGTGTGTATGCACACATACCCATACACACAAATAGATGCAGATCTTATTCTAAACCACTCTGGAAGTAATTTTCTCTGGCAGTCATCAGTGACAAATAACAAAAAATTGATGAACCTAAATCCCAAATTCCTTAGCCTAGAAAGGAATAAAGAACATCAACAGATATGAAAATAAGTCTCTTTGACAAGTGATTCAAGTTCTTTATGCAGGGATCCAGGTTCAGTAGATACCAGTGTATTAGAAGTGGTTGAACAGCACAGGTGTAAAACAGAAACAAAGCATAACCAGGCGAGTTTCACAATCGGGCAAAAGTCTTAATATACAGCAATGACATTAATCTGCCGATGTGAATCACAGGAATTCCCACACCTTCTAAGCATGCTTAGATCCAAACCACAATTATACATGTACAAAAAGATAAAGTTTAGGGCAGAAACATTTTTGAAATTATACAATGAACAGATAAGCATACTATGACTACATGCATTGCAAGTTTGTTTTGCAGGCTATTGGAAGAGCATTCACTTCTTGCTTCTGAGAATTGTTTTTCAGCCACAGAATTTTAAAAATCTGATGTACATAATTCAAAGCCTTTAAAATTTATGTTAAAATTTATTTGAGTAACCTAATAAATCAGTATTTGGCACTAACAAATTATCAGAACATGTCATATCTTTAAAAAATAAATCATAACTTAAGAGTAGAGAAAGAAGGTATTTTCAAATCCAGCAGCCCAAACAATAACTAATGGGAACATTTTTAACCTAGACAAAGATTTACAACATGACTTTCAGTTGGAGTGTATAAATTCTGCAGAAGACTTTACATCTACAACTGGGACTTTTGGCTTGTTTATAAATATTATAAATCAGAAAATGAGTAAAGAGTTAGGAGCTTGTAAATCCAGATAGTAAAGTTAAACTTTTAACACTTTTCTTATTAAAAACTTACTGTACGAATTATATTTATAAGGAACTTGAATAAGAAATTATATTCAAAATTAGGTTAAGTACTTTATTCATGAAGCATAAGTACAACAAAAAGTGAAGCAAAAAAGCACTATTGCTACTCTCCCTTTCAACAGGCCATGATGTGAATGTATCAAGAAGAAAGCTAACACTTAACAAGTTCAATAAAAGAATTAGGTCATTCTTATTTTTAATTTTCCTTATGATTTTTAAAAATTTATGTGTATGTATCTGTGTAAATGCTAGAAGTGTGCAATAGAATCCAGAACTTTTGAATCATCTGGAGCTGGAGATACTAGTGTTGTGATTCACCTGATATAGATGTTAGATACCAATCTAATTTTGGGTATTCTGGAAGAGCAATGATGTTCCAAATTGCTGGGCCATCTCTGAAGCCTCTAGTTACTTTTAATTTTAATACAGAGATTTAATTCCAATAGAGTATTTAATTTATAAAATTTTTGATCCGTCACACATGGGCACCCAAAAATGTTTATATGCAAAGCTTAACTTGAAAAGATTTCATCTGGTTATAGGTACTAAATTCCCGCATCTCCTTTTCCCTTCAAACAATGCATTATGATGATTAAGGAATTACATAGAATGTACCCATGTTTCTAATCCATATGTTTCAACAACTAGTTCTTCATTTATATGGGCCACCTGGGCCACTATATCTGTCTCTGGTATAAGGTCTCAAATCATCATATTGACATTCATGCAAACCACTGTGAGGTATGACAACAAATACCCAAGGATTGTCTTCACAGCTCCTTATTCTTTGTGACTTGGTGGAATGTTTTGTTTTATATCCTTAAGCCAAGCATTGCTATACGACTTCCTCAGATATATCTGTGTAGATTCCGTACTTGGACTACTTTGTTTCCTTTCAGTTTGGCAACTGTCTATTGATATTCTTTGGGAGAATACCTTGAAAATATAATTCACATTCCCATCACCAAGTGCTGTTTTAGATCTCCAGGAAGGTATCTTGGTGGTGGATTTTAGGGAGGACTTATACATCAGAGCCTCTTAATAGGAACTGATAACATTTTAAAATACAGGTTTGTAAAAGGAAGCTTTTCCTTGAGTGAAGCCTTCCCGCCAGCCTGGTTCTAGAGCCACATCAGTCCCAAATAAACACACAGGAGGCTATATTAATTATGAAGCTGTTGGCCTTGCTTGTTTCTTACTGGCTAGCTCTGGCTTAAGTAATCTAAGTATGATTCTTACCGGAGAAGTTTCCAGGCTTCCTACCCCATGGCGTTATATCTCGACTCTCTGTGTTTCTCCTTCCCAGAGTCCTCCTGGACTCCTATTCCCACCTATCTAGATTCCTATTGGCCCAACAGTGCTTTATTGACATAAGAATTCCCCAACATAGGTTTAAAGACAGAATGGATTTTAAGGCTTGATTATTAGAAAGTCATAAAGCAAATATGTATTTCAGATGTAACTTGAATGAATTAAAAGAACACAGATACTAGAACCTGGAATATTTATACAACATTTATTCACATTCAATATTTACTCCCAATTGTATTTAACAACATACATATCTAATGGGAATACAGAATAATTGCAACTTTCTGTATTCAAGTTGGAATTTCAGAGACTTAGGCATGTCAATAAATTATTTAGCAAGTAAAATGTATGGGAACTCGGAGCAATAGGAATCTCAAGGTTGGGAGAGGAAATCCTCCATTGCATTTCTGAAACAGCCCCATTAGATTCAACATAAACTAATAAAAATTAAATGAAACCTTTGAGACTAAATGAAATCAATTTCCGTCTAATTACCTTTTGTCTGTGTCTTGGATGACATGAGTAGCCACTAATCAGGAGGCAGGTTGAAACACACCATTCTCAATGATTTAAAAAATATATTTATCCTAATATCACAAAAAAGCTATTTTACCAAAAGAATTAAGATATTAAATTCATCTCATCAAAATCCCAATGACATTCATTCTCTAACGAAACAGAAAAAGGTAATCTCAAAAAAAGAGAAAATCTCAATTTTCTTTTGAGGCCATAAAATATCTTAGATAGCTAAAAAATATTTGAGCAGGAACAACAGCAACAATAAAGCTGTAAGTAGTAGATACCGGATTTCAAAATAAATTACAAAATAATAGTGAACAAGCATCATGGCACAAACTTAAAATGTACACACACCAAAGAAACAGAGTAAAGATCTTTATATAACCCCACACAGCTAGAGAACACAATAGTTTTTATAAGGAAGCTAAAAATAATAACTGGAAAAAGACAACTTCTTTAAGAGGTGTTGGGAAACAGTATGCATACTTGTATAAGAAAAATATATACTTATCTTTCAACTGCATAAATATCAACACTGAATGGAACATAAATCTTAAAGTAAGTCATGAAACTCTGAAATAGAGGAAAAATAGATATAACCCTTCATGATTCATACATAAATATAAAATTTTGGCTAGGACTCCATTGCTTAAGAAAAAGACCAACAACTGAAATTTTGGACCACATGAAATTCAGAATCTGTATAGTTAAGGAAGGTGCTAATCAAGTGATAATACAGCCTAAACGATGTGAGAAAATATTTGCCAACTAAATGTCTACATAAGGCTTACTACCTAGACTGTTCAAAGAACTCAAAGAACTAAATAAACAGTTCAAAAAATTATGTGTGGAAAAGTGGAAAAAATGTACTCAAAAGTGTAAAAAAATAGGTGATAAACACTTTGAAAGGTATTCAATATTTTCAGACATCAAGAAAGCACAAATTATTCTTTTGATGTCTGCAGGTTTTCCAAAAGAGGGGCATACACCTGAAAATTCAAAGCTAACATCTAGAAATGAGAGAAGTATGTGAAATTCATTCTTCTGGATCTGGGTTACCTCACTCTGAAAAACGTGTTCCCATATCCTGCTGTTTTCCTGAAAATTACATCATTTTATTTTTCCTAACAGCTTGACAATATCCCATTATGTAAACATATAACATTTTCATTCTCTATTTTCCAGTTGATGGACATCTAGGATATTTCTGTTTTGTGACTCTTGAGAAGAAAGCAAATGAACACAGATGAACAAGTATCTGTGAAGAAGGATACCTAATGCTTTGATTATGTGTTCAAGAATGGTGTATCTGGATATTTTGGTAGATCTATTTTCAGATCCCTGAGGTTCCTCCACATTGATTTCCATAGTGGATGCAGCATTTTTCACATGCACCAGCTATGATTAAGTGTTCCCATTTTTCCACATCCATGCCAATATTTGTTACAATTTATTAACATCTTAGCCATTCTGACTTGTGTACATTGTAATATTCTCAGTCTTTCCTGAATGGGCCATCTATATCATACATTTTCCTTCCAAAACTCAGAAATCATTACAGAGGAAGAGGTGGAACAATGTGATCCAGATAAGGTTGTTGATTACAAGGAAACACAGAAACACTGCTTCAAAAACAAAACAGGGAAGTTGCACACAGTGGTTTTGACAGCATGCACAAAGACTTGTACAAGCTCAATTAGACAAATTGCCATCATGGTGTAAAGGGAGGTAGGGCAAGTACCAACCCTTTATAAGAAGTAAAAGGCAACTGATAGAATTAGGGGAAGGAAAGTTAAGTTTTCTTCATGACTTTGACCCCTGATAAGTTAACCATATTTCACTGCAGGACCACATACTTAAGTGTATATGCAAAGTGCCAGCTGGACTTTATAAATTTTAGTTGAGGAAACAAAGTTGGGTGGTTGTGGAAGTAGGGAAAATCAATCTAAGAGAATCTGGTAAAGGAATGACAATGATCAAAACCAAATGTATAGCATTTCTCAAAATGTAATTTAAAATAATTTTTAAAAATTAAAAAATAAAAATGAAACCATTATGAAATGCCATCTTACCCAAATCAGAGCAGATCTTTTATATGACAGCAAGCATTAATGGAGATTTATGGAAAGAGGAAACATTATTCAGTGTTGAGGAAAATGTAAAATGAAGTAAACAGTGTGGAGATTTCTCAAACAGTTATAAAGAGAACTACAATAAGACCCAGGTATGCCTCTCCTAGGATTATACTCAAGGAGCACTCTGTCCTACCACAAAGACACTAAACATCCCTATTTATCACTGTTCTATTCGAAATAACTAGGAAAATGCTATCAGCCTATGTGTTCCTCTTCTATCTGATGGGTAGATTACAGAAATGTGGCACATATGAACAATAGACTTTTATTTACGTGTGGCGCATATCAATAGTAGAATTTTACTCAGTTGTGAAAAAAATGAAAATTTGAAATTCTCAGGAAGGTGCATGTCACTGGAAAATGCTACATTACCTAAGTTACCTCTAACTCTGAGAAGTGAACACCACATGTTCTTTCTCATATGAAGATTCTAGCTTATAATCTTTATACACAGGTACTACCTTAAGAATGGTTGTATATTGTGGCCAGGAAAATTCAACAGTGCCCCTGTGAGTGGAAAAATGACTTTAAAGAGGATGGGGCAGATACTAGAACATATGTGGTGTTGAAGTGGAAGGGAAAATGTAGAAGGTAGATAGTATAGGGTACAGAGAGATTGGGAAAGAGAAAGTGTTGGTGGATGCTTAACTAAAACTAAATGTGTATGAAAGAAACAGAAGGAAATCTGCTATTTTGTAAGGTAGTTAAAAATAAATTTTTTAAGTAAAAATTTGAAAAGGGAACCTGAAAACAGTCATATTGTGTGGGCAGATAAAGCTGCTCCCAAAAGTCATGAAGTTATTAAAAGAAAATTGCAGTACCATGGGTAAACTACATCCCCAAGGGTTGTTCAAGAGAAGTCCTTTAGATCTTCAATACAATACAGCCTATTGGCACTACCATTTTTGCCTACTGGAATTAGATGCTAAGACTCCCTTTACAAACTCCACATACATTGGCTGAACGACAGTGAAGTTTATCCAGAAGTTTCCTCCTTACTGGGTGGTTTTCACAGGAATAGAGGGTGCTATCTATGTAAGCTGCTGACAGAGAATTTCCATAAACATTTTTATTCATCTGTGGACACTTTGTGCTATACAATGAACCCATCAGCAAAGAATCTCTACTGATGTAATAGTCAGGTGATTGCTATGAAGATGATCTGACTTTCTGATTTGATTTGATTCCCCACTACTCAAAAGTGAATTCAGATCTTTTACACTAAATACATATGGCAGCCATACGCCTCAGTGAGGAAGTCACTGCTGTTGTTTGGTGAGACATGATGTGTCTCTGTAACTGAAATCTAAATACTTGCATTTTCCCCTGCATTAAAGCTACTCTCAGCCGGGCGGTGGTGGCACACACCTTTAATCCCAGCACTCGGGAAGCAGAGGCAAGCAGATCTCTGTGAGTTTGAGGCTGGGCTGGACCTCCAAAACAATACAGAGAAACCCTGTCTCGTAAAAACCAAACCAAACAAAAAAAAGCTACTCTCAACTTTGGTCAAATATGCTTCTTGTTGGGTTGAGAAATGGTTTACTACAAGGACTGGTCAAAGTACCAAGAATAAAGTACTTTCAAATATTTGTTGATACATGATCTGTCTATATCAATATAAGTAAGGTTCAGAATGCACACTGAAAGAGGGAATATAAAGAATATAAGAGCAAGAGGGTGTGGAGGAATGTTTTAAAACAATCTTCTGGAGGGTGTGGAGGAATGTTTTAAAACAATCTTCTGGAGGTAAACTGACTGCTACAGTCATGAACTCATATCAGTTCTAATTACCTATAGAAAATTTTTACAAAATGTGGCTATTCAATATGTCATAATGGATGGGATAGGAACTCACAAATCCCTATCACAGCTCATGGACTATTGTTTTTTATGGTTAGGAATTGTTGAGTTAGGGAGAGACACTAGTAATTAGAGTTAGAAGTTTAATCTTTATCCTTTCAGTCTCAATATATGTTGTTGGATGATTTGAGGAGATAACCTATCAGAACAGATGAAGTATTAGTTATGCCTCCTGGATGTAGAGAGCTTACAAGGGTTTCACAAAAGTCAAAAGAACATAGGTTGAATAACCTTATATAACAATTGATGCAAATTTCACAGTCTTTCTGAAAGTCTTTTGGAACTGAATCTAACAAAAATTAGAATTTCATAAAATCTATTGCTTTTAACTTGCCTACAAATATAATTAATATTGAAATGTTTCATAGAAAGTGATAGATTTCTTGTATTTTTAATGAAAACCTGCAGATAAAGATGAGAATATTTGCCTCTTAGATAGTCTGTCTTGACAAAAGAAGAAATATGAAAAACATGATACGCTAACTTGTCACTAACGTTTTTGAACTTTCTTTGGGTGGCTCAATAAAGAAAGGAAAAAGTAAATTTAAATTGGCAGATAAATTTTGGCATTTGTGTCTGTTTCTTCCTTCTTAACTGAAGTATGAAATTAGTGTTTTTTCTTTTATTTAACACATTAAGGATGAGTTGTCTTAATGTACTCTAAACATGTTCTTCCTGGCAAATAGAAACACGATATTCCTAGATGTGGATATCCAGATCATAGCTGCAATGCTTGTGTCAACTTATGTTGGCTGAACTTCACCTTACAACCGTCCAAGGAAACCACTCTTTAAAAAAAATAGAACTTGGGGCTGGAGAGATGCCTCAGCCTTGGCTGTTCTTCCAGAGATATGGAGTTCAATTCCCAGCAAACACATGGTAGCTTACAACCATCTGTAATGAGATCTGGTGCCCTCTTGTGGTATGCAGACATACATGCATACAGAATACTGTATACATAATGAACAAATAATTTTTTAAAAACTAGAACTTGGGACCTCGGGCAACTGATCAGCATTTATACCTGGCATCCAGATGGACTTTAGGAGCCCATTCCTTGTGGAGGGATGCTGTCTCAGCCTGGACACATGGGGGAGGGACTAGGCCCTGCCCCAAATGATAGGACAGACATTGGAGATCCCCAATGAAGGGCCTCACCCTCCATGAAGAGCTGATTGGAGATTTGGTGGGGAGTTGGGGGGAGTTGAAGAGGATGAGGGAGAAGGGGAGGGAAATGGACATGGCATTGGCATGTGAAACAAGCTTATTTCTAATTTAAATTAAAAATAAACAACTTGTTTGAAAGGAAAAAATACTAGAACATACTAATACTTATTTTTTTCAGAGGACAGTTTTAAAAGAGAAGCAAAGTAGGAAATCTTTCCCTGTAAAAGTATCTAATCAATAAATTGAAATATTGCTTCATAGGGATCATGAATCTTACAAAGTATGATAGACAGAAATGCCAGTGTCCCAAACCAACAGTAGGCATCTACTTCTCCATTGTAGCCAAACACTGTAAAGCAATCCAGCGATAAAGAGTGAAAAGGGAAGAATGATGCCCTTCTTTTATTTTTCCAGAATCAAAAAGCAGCCAATCATTATCCCAACTTGGCCAGAAGAACACTCCAATCTATACTGATTGAGAAATGAGCATGTGGCAAAAGCAATTTGATGATGATCGAGGGGAACAGTATTCTTTCGTGATGACAAAGACTGTCCCTCAAGTACCTGCCACTTTTCACAGAATTTCCCCAGTGTCATTCTGTAGAGATATCTCTATTAGACAGATGTTCCATAAAGGGAATTCAGTAATTCAGTAGATACAACTACTTTCTGTCTGAAATGTGTGAGGACTGGGGAAGACATGGAATTCTTGGCTTTTATGAACAATCAGACAAATGTACTTGCCATAAGTTGAATAAACGTATCTGGTAGTTTTTATATATTTAACTAGGGAGAAATGTCAGCATGATTGAAATAAAGCATCTGTGTGTTTCAAGGTACTTCTGATTTTGAAAAGACACATATAAAAAGGCACAATTTAAAGTTATCCAAAAGACCATCAAGATGCAACACAGGTACAGTAAGGGGTGGAGGGGTTCAGCTGAAATGTGGCCTTGAGAGAGTTATTTGCATGAATTCTGTGTTGCTGGAAAACTCATGAGCTACATTAGAGTTCGCTGAACTTGAGAAATGAGATTCAGTAATTGGAATACAGACTTTGATTTATGAGTTATGAAAATAGTTGCCTTGGGAGTAGCAAAGATAAAGTGATTTTTCTCAAGCTATTAGTGGAAGTGTATCTGAGACCATTTGGCCATTTGCCTGTTGAACCCATAGTTATTTTGTCACTCTTAGAAGGATGAAGTCATAATGGTCAGTGACCCAACATACTGAGAATTGCTTCTAAGGAGCTTGACACCATGATAATTGGTCTGATCTTGTCGAAATCATCAAATCTTAAGAATGATTTCATAGGGTTTATTCTGATGGGTGAGTTTAAAAATAAGGAATAGAAACATACATTTTATAATTTGTATGACAAATATACCAATATTTTATAGGTAATAAATCTTTGAAAGAATTATTATAATCCTGGCTCAATCCACCTTGCAAGTTATTTTCTGTATACATACCTACTTTTGCTCTATATATTACCTTGTCTTCTCAGTGAGAATTAAAAACTTTGGGGAATGTGTCTCTAATTTGTATAGAAATAAAATATTCCCAACATAAAATTCAATACATAGAAGCAAGATATTATGAAAAGAATATAATAGTTGTGAAGAAGAAAGTAGAAAAATGATTTAGAAGTAACACTAAAATCAACATGCATCATAACCTTCCTAAAAATAGATGAACCCTAATCTCTTAGTAAAGATTTTCTTATTAAATTCCCAAAAGAAATATAAAGTACTGCTATCTCTATTGTACAATGGGGAAAATAGAGCTCAGTTGAGACACACTAGTTTCCTGAACTCACCAAAAAAGAGAAAAATTGAGTTGACATTTGAAGTTTGTTCTTATTAATTCAAATTCCTCTGCTTTTATCTACAAGGCTCAGATATTTTCACTATCTTAGCTTATGTAACTTCTCAAATACTTAGTTAAATAGAGGCAACAAGTTCCATGTTTTAGCAATTAGGGACTGTTTTATGATGGAAATTCTATCAAGCTTATTTTAATGATAATGTTGTTGTTTAAGTATGCCATAGCTTCGAGGTTTCAAAAAGCATCAGAAATTGGAAGCAATGATTAGAATGTCATTGGAAA